CTGCAAACTTATCTGGTCCCGTCATATATTCATAGGGAAATACGCCTTTACGCTGTAGTAGAGGATTGTCTATGAATCTAAATGTATTTAAATTGGAAGCCAATTTATATAATGGAAGTGACAGAAAGTTATAGGAATCTAAAAATATTAAATCATCAACAGAGAATGAAATGTACTTTTCCATATCTTTGGCTATGCAATTTAATTTACGATCATATTTTCCCAAGTGTTGCATTATTAAATGTCCATCGTAATTTTTCAAGTTATGGAAGAATACTGGGATTTTCTTTGTTACTTTATAGTTTAAATTACAATCATTGTGGGCAGCTCCACGGTATCGGCCAGATGAATGACAATGATCTCGCACCCTATCAAAATATAGGGGTTTTTCACAAATATGACAATGCGTTGAGTTTTGGAAAGATGCCTCTTGTTCAGGAGTCATTACAAGAGGAATATATATCGACATTTGACGTTTAATGAAGTCATAAGTCTCAAATAACCTTTTGAAAAATACATCCATAACATTTGCACCACTATATAACTCTTCAGAAATAATCTTAGAATCTTTCACTACAACAAATGCAAATCCAGATGGAGTATGGTTGTTAGAGTTTATAAAGCATTCAAAATCTGCATAAATCACAAATGGGGCTTTAAGTTGATATTTATAATTTTTAAATTGTAATGTATCTTGTTTAGACATTTCCACTCGTTGAGCATCAAAATTTTTACAATATGTTATGTGACGTTCTAATATATCATTAGTGTAAAAATGTTGCAAACACAACTTACAAAAATACTTCTTATTGTTATCTTTTGTAGATCTCAACATTAACCTATTAAAATCACGAATTAAACAGTAATGTGATTTACGACCTTCTTGTAATAATAATAAATCGATGTGAGTATTACTATTTAGTTTGGTTGTTCTTAATGGATATATACATTTATCATCTTCAACCCCAAATACATTAACGCTTATATTATTTTGTCTTTCAAATTTATCTATATCAGATATTTTCACAGGATACTTTATGTTTGTCATATTCAGATGACCTATGTAGGGTGCATAGCTGGAGACTCTATTAGCATTTTCATTAGAGTTCCTTGGGTATAAAGCTGCTAATACCGACCAAAGAAAACATTTATTATCATCATTTTTTATATTTAAAACTGCATGTTTCGATTTAATACTCTCTGGTGTGGGAATATATGACTTTGGAGTTAAGGGCTTATATTTGTAAACGTGCAACTGCCAATACTTAGTATGGTCATATATCCATCCACTGCCTTGGGCTTGGTATTTGTGTATGGAAGCATCAATCTTTAAAAGTGCATTTTCAATTTGAGGCTTTAAATCTCTTTTCTCAATAGTTAAGGTAGTAAGGCTTCTAAAATCTGCAATACATTCTTTTTCATTAACTAATTGTCCACTTTGATCCATTGAATATTTTATAAATTTAATTCTCCTTACTAAAGTCCATTTTATTGGCAGAGGACAAGACTGAAGAGTATTTTTAAGTTCAGTTCTAATCGATTCACCAACAAATTCAATCATTGTATATGGACAATTATTGCAAGAATTGACGTGTCTTTTAAAATGACCAACCACATTTTTCTTACAAAAATTACAATTCTTATGACTTTGTAATATATGCGATTTTAGAACCACATTATCATCACAGATTAAATCACATACCTTGCACAGTTTCACCTTCATTTGATGTACTAGCTTGTAGTGGCGGACCAAATTGCTCTTCTTGGACAGCGAGGCGGAGCAGTGTTGACAGGTCGGCATCACGCTCGAGAATGAAATATCACCCGGATGCCACTTCTATATATAGACTCGTCCCCGGTGACGTCACCACCTGAGGATTCCCCAGTCTCGTGACCGCTTCACTTGGCCCTTGTGACAGTGCCCGTAAAACTGTCTAAAAACGCTTATATCTCGAAAACGGCTTGAGATACGGCAAAACGGTTGAAATTCTGGCAAACGTAGTGGGTGTCAACTTTTGATTATAAACAATATTACAACATAAAAAAATCAAAAAGTAAGAAAAAAATTTAACATTATTTTATATGGGTACAAATAAAATTTACCATGAAAAATCGTCTAAGTCCATAAAACTATCCAAAAACGCTTATATCTCGAAAACGGCTTGAGATACGGCAAAACGGTTGAAATTCTGGCAAACGTAGTGGGTGTCAACTTTTGATTATAAACAATATTACAACATAAAAAAATCAAAAAGTAAGAAAAAAATTTAACATTATTTTATATGAGTACAAATAAAATTTACCATGAAAAATCGTCTAAGTCCGTAAAACTATCTAAAAACGCTTATATCTCGAAAACGGCTTGAGATACGGCAAAACGGTTGAAATTCTGGCAAACGTAGTGGGTGTCAACTTTTGATTATAAACAATATTACAACATAAAAAAATCAAAAAGTAAGAAAAAAATTTAACATTATTTTATATGGGTAAAAATAAAATTTACCATGAAAAATCGTCTAAGTCCGTAAAACTATCTAAAAACGCTTATATCTCGAAAACGGCTTGAGATACGGCAAAACGGTTGAAATTCTGGCAAACGTAGTGGGTGTCAACTTTTGATTATAAACAATATTACAACATAAAAAAATCAAAAAGTAAGAAAAAAATTTAACATTATTTTATATGGGTACAAATAAAATTTACCATGAAAAATCGTCTAAGTCCGTAAAACTATCTAAAAACGCTTATATCTCGAAAACGGCTTGAGATACGGCAAAACGGTTGAAATTCTGGCAAACGTAGTGGGTGTCAACTTTTGATTATAAACAATATTACAACATAAAAAAATCAAAAAGTAAGAAAAAAATTTAACATTATTTTATATGGGTACAAATAAAATTTACCATGAAAAATCGTCTAAGTCCATAAAACTATCTAAAAACGCTTATATCTCGAAAACGGCTTGAGATACGGCAAAACGGTTGAAATTCTGGCAAACGTAGTGGGTGTCAACTTTTGATTATAAACAATATTACAACATAAAAAAATCAAAAAGTAAGAAAAAAATTTAACATTATTTTATATGGGTAGCATGCATTTTATATGGGGGAGCGCGCCCGAGTTCGCGTACAAACCTCGCTCGATTTTGAGAATATATATGAGAATGGATGTGGATTTGAAATAGTAATAGTGTTATACAATGGTATTGAACATTTATATAGGCTTGTATAGGCCAAGAGCTGGATTTTTAAAAAAGTGGTCAAAAAAAGCTCACCATGTTATTCTTATGGGGAAAACGTGCCTAAAGTGATGTCTCTTTCTGGGTTCGCCACTACTGAACTGCATATCTGCAGGTTATGTTTGAGTTGATTGAGCGAAGCTCTTTGAGATCGGGCCTTGTGCAAACTTTGTAATCGAATCATACAATAGTTACTGGTTTCGGAGCATGATTCATGCTGGAAAAAATGTGCTCTTATGTTGAGTTAATGTTTTTATTAGAATAACAAATAATATTGATCTGGAAAGTATAACAAGAGTTTTGAACCAGCCCAGGGAATTTTCAAACCCAACGTAAATTTAACTTTCTCAATAAAATAGGTCCACTATTATTTAAAAAGCCTTCTCAGACATACGCAACACTTTTGGCAATGAAATAGATTTATTACATTTTGTTGATGGACGTTTGAATTAACTGTGTAGATGCTTAAAAATGTTAGGAGGTGTGTAATAAATATTTCGTTACGTTTTTTTACATTATTTATTTCTGGTTCAATTTTACTACAAACAAATTCGGGATAATGGTTATATCATTGAGCCTAAATAGCCATATGTTCTATATAAATGACTATAATGTCATGTGTTTTATTAATAAAGTTTTTGTGCACTATAAAATGTTTCGGTGAAATAGTGATTCGCATTTCTATATCATATTTTACGGTGTGTAGAAAATTAGCACAGTGGAAACGTGATGGTGACGAACTGAGATCAGCTGAGGCGCAGAGGGTGGATGAGCAAAGGTAGCAAGCAGTGAAAGTGAAACATGTGGTTGGACAATAGACAAGCTGTAGGACACTGGCTGATAGTAGCCATAAAAACAACGGCCGCTTTTGCCAACTAATGTGGCGGGTTGTCGTGTACGCTAAATGTTCGATGTCGTCAACCCACCACCTCGCACGTAAACGACAACGTGCCACTACGTCAACCCTCCACCAGTCTTTTACGAAGTGGCGGGTTGTCGTGTACGCTCAATGTCCGGTTACGTCAACCCGCCACCTCGCACGTAGATGTCTACCAGCCACCACGTCAACCCGCCACCACACTAAAGAGATGGCTGGTTGACGTGTATGAACACGTCTATGCACCACCATGACAACTAGCCACCACGACAACCCGCCACCGCACATTTATCCGAGTTGGTGGGTTGTCGTTTACGCACAAGTCAATATGCCACCCCGCCAACGAGCCACCAAGTCAACCCGCCACCTCAAACTTCTTCTTTTTGGTGGCGGATTGACGTGGTGGCGCCTCGGCTCGTTCCCGTTAAAGGCAGCACGGCCAGATACACAGCCACTGCCACCTCACAGCGCGCGATTTATACTGTATATCAATATCGATGGGTCTGACTGATCGACTGAGGACTGAGACTGAGGAGAGAACTGAGGAACCGGAAGATGACTGAGAGGGGACTGAGACTGAAAGATTGAGACAAGGCAAGGTTTAGGTCTTGGTCTTGGTGGTGAACGTGAACACAGAAAACGTACTACTATGAACGACGAACACTGGAACTGGAGTAGTAAGTGGAGTATGGATTGGAACTGGAACACTGTATGGATCTGAACTGAACGAAACGAACACTGGGTTGACTGAGACTGACTGACTGAGACTGCCGAGCCGACTGGCGCATTTGCATCGCATTCGCATTGGACAATTGAATTGAATTGGACATGGACACTGGGACTGGACTACTGGACTAGGCAGTGGGCATCGTGTTGAATTGATCGTTAAAATTTATACAATTTGTTAAATTATTTCATAGCCTAGTTGCAGTGGTTTGTTAATTGTGGCCAAGTATTGTTGCCAAATTATTGTTAGTGAATACTTATTACTTGGTTAACAAAGGATAAAATATGCACGGGCGTTCATCCATTGCTAGTAGTTTGGATCCAATAGAGGTTAGGATTTTGAAACAGAGCTTTAGTGCCTAGGCCTAGGCATACTCTCTTCAATGGATCCAAATCGTTGGAATAACGAATCTCATACGTACCCCAACTATTTACATTTCAATAATCAAAGTCAAATCTGCAATAATGACTATAGGCCCATGTTTAGACCAATCTCTGATTCCAACACTTGTGGGAATAACATAGTAGGCCTGCAACAAATTCAAATTGTTCACCATGATGTGCCAAATAATAGTAATTCTTATAGGCCTAATTGTCCACCACATTTGTATCGAGCCCCAGTCATTAATAATCCCACCTGTGATAGGTTACCTTCATTCGCTCCGACAATAGGCCTAAATAATTATAACCAGAACGAGTTTTCAAACTCGGGCCCAAATAGTTATGGATCACGAGAAAATTTGAAAGGCCCTATCTTCAATTATGGACCACCATATTATCAAGGACAAGATCTGAGTGAACCAACACTTTATCAGAATGTAAATATTCATATCCATCCTGGCGCAGGCGCACATGGGTATTCATCAGAAAAACCGGCTGATCTACATCCTCCCCTGTATAAAAGTTATCCACCCCCAGTTGAAAATCGATACATATCAAATACATCTAGGCCTAATCATAGCTTTCAAGAAATGAAGAAAGAAGTAGTCCTACCCACCGATTTAGAACACATTGGCATGAACAGTGATAAGAAAAATGATCTTAACTTCCCAATCTTGCCCCCTCAAAGAGAATATCCTCACCAATCAAGCTTTTCTCGAAGTCTCTCTCCAAGAAATGATAAGGCCCACTACTCAATTTCCTCTCGTAGGGAAGCTTCTCCCACAAGTTCAAAATATTATGCTTCAAGATCACCATCAAGGAACCCCATAAGAAAACGAGATGATTTACCTCCAAAGCGTAGACCTATAGCAAGACGACCTGCCTATCGCACACAAAATCGAAGTTCAACAATTAAAAGGACAGTTTCAAGAAATAGAAAGCTCCATAGGCCTCTACCATCAAAGTGTAGAGGTAGGCCTAGACAAAGCCATACTAATAGCCGATCTTCGAGGGACACATGTAGAACAACTACCCCAGATTACAAACGCAGGACTAATGGCAAAAGGTAAGTAATAACTTAGGGTACCTATCATTAGGCTACCAAGATGCTAATTTAACCTAGATCCATTTCCTACCACTAGACCTAGGCCTAACTCATAATTGTTTTGAGTGGTTAATAACCAAGGTCTTTTTGACGTTAATGACAATAATCTATATATGCGTTCCTGTAGGCCTACTAAGTCATAAATGGTGCATTTTGAGGACCATATTTATAAGATCAAGGCTAGGACTGTATCACTTTTTAAAAGATTTATAATCAAATATAATTAGGCTACCTATTTTGGTTAGGCTAATGGAAGATAGCTTTAATATAAAAGGCTAGCAAAGTCGTACCACTAGACCTAGGCCTAACTCATAATTGTTTTGAGTGGTTAATAACCAAGGTCTTTTTGACGTTAATGACAATAACCTATATATGCGTTCCTGTAGGCCTACTAAGTCATAAATGGTGCATTTTGAGGACCATATTTATAAGATCAAGGCTAGGACTGTATCACTTTTTAAAAGATTTATAATCAAATATAATTAGGCTACCTATTTTGGTTAGGCTAATGGAAGATAGCCTTAATATAAAAGGCTAGTAAAGTCGTTCACACGGGGCGAGTTTACAAGCTACACGCCGGCTTTTTTACACGCAGCTAGTAAAATAGCTCAGTGTGAACGATGTACTCGCTCAAAAGCTGCTTGTAAAAAAGCTCTGGAAAAAGTTGATGCTGCCGCTACTTACACGCCAACTCGCCAGCTTTTGAGCGAGTAGGCGTGTAAAGTAGCCCAGTGTGAACACAGTTGCTTGTGCGCGTGTTATTCAAAGATGGTGGAGGATTTGGTTCAAGCCAGCTACTGAGCAAGTGGAAAAAGCATCGTGTGAACGACTACAAGCACACTTGCCGACTCGCCGGCGTCTTTCTACACGCCGGCGAGTTGGCTAGTGGACAAGCTCCGTGTGAATGAATACAAGCACACTCGCCAACTCGCCGGCTTCTTACACGCCGGCGAGTAGCGTGTAAACTTGCCCCGTGTGAACGAGGCTTTTGTCACTAAAACAGAATTAAGGCTTATGATTGTTAAAAGAAAATGAAGTACCTATGTTAAATTTGTACTGTAAGTTACGAGGTTCATTGACAAGTGGTGGCTTTGGTTGAATCAGTTTGCTGAATGACTTTATTTAAGAACTAGAGGTACCTAACTTATAGGCAACAAAAATTAAGCTACTGAATGGTGCCTTGGCCTGTAAAACATCTCTCAGTATTTTAAAAATGTTAATTTATTATTTAGACGATTGAATAGGCCCAGTCCAATGATTGACCAAGTTGACCTAAAAGTTTCTTTCAGACACCTGGACATTAAAACCTAAACGGTAACTGTAGGCCTAATTGAAAACCTGAGTGTTAGGCTATGGAAACTCAGTGTTATATTTTACCACTTCTGTACAACTGGCAGTTTCATTGCATATGCATCAGATGTCGTAACTAATCTTTCATTTAGGTCTTTCAATATGACTATATGCGAAAATAACTCAACAACGATGAGTTGAAAATCGTCCAGATATGTACCGTAATGAAACAGGGAGTTTAACATGGAATTCCTACACCCAAGCGTTGGGTGTACCAACTTGTTAGGCCTGATCAATGGACACTTGGTTAAGGTGTCGAATCCAAGCCACGGGGAGATTACACCATTGGTCCAGAGTTTTGAATCCCATCTCAGTCAGGGTGATGCGTAACTACGAGAATGTCTGCTGACTTTGGCATAGAACGGTGTACAAGACCTATATTTATATTCTACCTTTTACCTTCGATGTCTTCGCCACAATCCGTAGATCAGGGTATGTATATATAAAATACAAGGTGAATGGCTCGAGTGAACTTGACAGATGGGTGAGCTCTTTTTGAGTTGTACCTCTGATAATATACAATTTCAGTGAACTAAAGATCTCTCTACGTTATAGAAACATCCGTCGGAGACTGGAAAAGAAGAAAACACCTGAGAAAAAACCTGATTATGCTGCTCTGCTGGAGGAAGAGAAAAAGATTTGGACCAGGACATCTCCTGCTGAATTGTTTTACACTCCAGGGTCAAAGTAAGTGTTTTCTCAAGGATATATTTATTTTGTAGGCCTAGTTATATTTTCCCCTTTGACATATTCATTTAACTTGATAATTTTGTCAAAAAAAGGAAGCTTATAGCTCTGTGTTCTTAAACTCATCTTCTTGACTGTAAAAACTACAGTTATGTAAAGCAGGTTCAAATCTTAGTTTTTTAATATTGAACCCACCGTCTTCCTTGGATCAAAACTCACTACCAACGCGACTTTCAGAATCACATAATAGTGCTTGTTTTATGAGCATTATTTTTTCCAGGTCTTTAGTTCCAGCTTTTCCCTAAATTTGGCACTACTGAGGATTTATTATCAACTTTACCCAGTGCAGCTACTGGTTTATTTTATGTATAAATTTGTCCACAAACATTGAAATGCAGTAGGCCAACATGATATACTGTAGCTCTTATGTTGTATAGAAAAGAATTAAACAATTTTCCTGCACTCAGTGCATTGACCGTTCCTGTTCCTAGCAGCAGCCGACTATTACGCAACTGTAACGAACGTGTTAAGCAAATAATACTACTGTACCAGTAAAAAAAGTTCAATCCTAGGTTGTAGGCACAAACCCGGAATTGTTTTTCACATTTCTTCAGGCTAGACCTAGGGGTTACGGCATTATCACTTAGATAAAATCCATTGGTGATTAGGCGGGATTTGAACCCAGGACCCCAGGAACCAGAGTCCTGCGCTCTAACCACTAGACCACCTTGCTCCCCCAATAATACAACCAGTAGGCCTGAGGCATATGCTAGAAACATTTTTAGAGAAAAACTGTATGGTCATGTAATGTGTTTGGACTCTGTTATGTGAGGAATAACCTGCACCACCTCACAACAAGGGAATCCCACAACCTTCGTAACAGAGACCAGCTCCTCGTACCTTAATGGTACTTCAGGCTGTCCAAAACACAAAACTGTTTCAGATTAGGGCTCTGAAGATATTCAATGATCTCGTGTAAGGTTTTATGACATGTAAACTGTCTGTTTTCCATGAAACTGCTAAAGCATGGCTTCTTGATGGCCAGTAAATTTGGTCCACCAAAACTGGCTCTGTAAAACAGACGATGAAAGAAGCTGGTGATTGGTTTAGTGCTACAATGTCCTTTAAGACTCAACACCTAGTTTGCAATAGGTGTGCCAAAAGCAAAGGTCTAGGCTCAGGTAGGCTATAGTTTTTTTTTTTAAGAGGATACGCCTACAAAAGTTGTGGGTGTATTGATTGATAGTAGCACGGCCTCCTTTAACTATAGGCCGCGGCTAGTGAGAATTGGCAACGTCACACTTAGCATTAACTCCCGACCGTTTCACCATTACGGTAGTACGGAACTAGTGGTCGCAGTTTAAATATACTGCATTTTTACACCCTTACAATTGAGATAAAATTTTGAAATTTGGTACAGAGCTAGTGTATAAACTCTTCATGTCAATGGTATGGTTTTGAAAATCAAGATTTCATTTGGTAGTATATATAAATATATTTTAAATTAACACATTAGAAAAAGTTAGGAAAAGTAAAGTGAAAAAGTTAGTCGCCTACTAAAATTTTTGTTTGTTCGTCAGAGAAGTTTCGTCTGTGAGAAAGTTGTAGATAATTAAATATACTTTACTGTTTGTATTTAACTTTTCTTTTATATCATGCTTAGTTTTGTTACAATTTTGGGTTGAACAGAGCGACCAAATCTCAGTTTTATGTCGCGGTGCAGCAAGTAGCGCTGCCATGCAAGCTGAGAGCGTAGTATCGAATAGCTAATTAATAAATAATGTAGGCCAACTAAATTATTTCAAGCCTGAGGTTATACCTTTTGGATATCCTCAAAAATATTACTTTTGTATCAAATATTGCTATTTTTAATATACCTACATTCCCAACCAGTACAGAAGTTCAGTTATAGCAGAAAGCTCTACCTGTGTTCCTTATATTTTCCCGTAATAAGTAATATTATTATAGCCAACAGCACAGCATTGAATACATTTTGAAGACAGGTTAACTATTTACAACAATCCAACCAACAAGTTCACACGTACACGGTGCACACTGCACGGCTTAAAGTCTTTATAATTAAATACCGTAGCTTAAAACATAAATGCCTTTTCCCTTTGGTTTTAATAATTTTGCTGTAGTTTATAATGAATTTTAAGTATGTGTTTTATTTACACGTTATTATGTAGTAGGCCTATTATGAGAAATAAAAATATTACTTAATTCTGTTATTATGCCACCATTAACCAATAACTAATCCATTGACAATATTCTTGCAACAGACTATCAGAAGGCGGGGCTAGCGGAAACTTTAAACACAGACAATGCTTAAACTAAGCGCATCAACCATTAGCGGCGTGGCGACCACCATCTTGATTGAATTAGGTGGAATTAGCGAATAACTAAAATTAGCGACCACATGTATAATTAGCGTTAAGTTGTTCTTCTGTGTTGGCTGGTTTTTAGTGACAGTGGTTTTAATGTCAGGTATCGATATTTCAGAAATAGCTGAAACTGTTTGTATTTGTGGAGTAAATTTAAAGGAAATAGTGTCAAAAATGATTTTCAGAATGAGCAATATTTTGTTAAATAACTACCTACACAAAAGTAAAAAAAACAATAATAGCCACTGTAACCATAGAAAAATGTCAATCCTCTTTTGAATAAAATAATGTTATTTATTGCTTTTGTTAATTTTTACTTTTGTATAGTAAACATCATCATTCAATAATTGATAAAACAATAGCTTACATAGAAGCTGTAAGTAAATAACTTTGTAAATGGGATTTCAATTTTATGTGTTTAACGAACAATAAATCATAGGGTAAATACGTAGAAGAAACGAAAGAAAACTACAATTATAGGCCTAATGCTTATAATCAATGTACCGTAAAAGGTTTTAATAAATATTGTATTATATTCTTGTATTGACACTAAAGCCTCATATAATTCTTTCCTTAGTTTCCTACACATCAGTGTTGTCAGATATAAAACATCTAGTTTAATAGATAATTTGCGTGCTTGCTCTAATCCTCCATAGCGCTAGCGTTCACTGGCGTAGCGTAGCCATCCAGCGATCCCATGCGGTGTTGCCACTTCGAACGCCGCGGCCTGTAGTTAAAGGAGGCCGTGATAGCAGTCTTTCCTAGTTAGCTAATATTGATTTAGTTTGTTCAAAACTGTCAAGAGTTATTTATTTTGTGAATAGGTAAAAAAATGTTGTTTCTGAGAAATATATCTGTGTAGCCTATTTTAAAGTTTTTCAATCACTGTGAAGCTAATATCTGATTCTCTGGACAACAGTGGTAATACCAGTGATGTTTTGTTATTCGAGAAAAAAGGCTCTTACAATAGTAATCAGATCACACTTAAAGCACATTGTACACCTATGTTGATCAAAACCAAGATTTTGACTGTTATTAATCTGTATACAGGCTAAAGGGGCTGAAAAAACTGGACGTTTTTCAAATAAGTATTAGGCCTACTGTACTAATTTGTGTATGTGTCAATGATAACTTTTATTACACTAACATATTCGCTAACTCTTACCATTTAAGAAAAAAACTAACTATTTACTCCATAGATAACAATGTCTGTCAGGTGGAGTCAACTTTCATTCATGCTGGTTTCCATCATTTTCTGGAATTCTTCCATTACAAGTCTCAGAATTTCATAACCCCCATTAATTGTCGTCACTTTCTGGTTAATTGCGTCTGTGAGATCCATCATGGTTCGGGGTTCGTGAGTGTAGACTCTAAATTTGAGAACACCCAAAAGAAAAAATTCTCACACCTCCAAATCTGGTGACCTTATAGCCACAGAATATCATAAAAGCGTGAAATAACCCTTCGTAGAAACCTAATACTTGCTATTGCTACGGCCATTGAATCCTAAGCAGTGGGTGCAGTGGATCTTGTTGAAAATACCTAGGTATTGTTTATCAAACGTTGCTGCCTCACCTGTGACCTCAAAAAAAAATGCTGGAGCATATCAACTCTTACAAATCAAAGCTTGTCATGCCTCTTACATCTACAGCGTCCTAGCAGTTATTTGTTGGACAAGTGGCTTCTTTTTAGTGTAGGTCCCGTTTTTCTTAAATTGTTAATCTACCTGAGAATTTTATTTTGGCTGGAAAATGTCTAATTGTGTATAAGATGTGATTGGCTCGCCATTTTGCCAATGAATGACACCCCTCCCCCTCGTGACAATAACTGTTGAACCTATTATATACTATCCGTTTGAAATATGTCCGGTTCCTCTTACTTACCCTATATATGTTTACTTGATGTTATATCAAAATTTAGGGACTTGGCTGTTGAAAAGATTTTCGTTTTGATTACCCTAGGTCCAACTCTTTTCTTGAAATTCTGTCCCATAGTCTAAGTGAAGGTGTCAACCACTCCATAATTAGTTTAAAGTTGTTCAATGCATTGCATTCTGAGTCAAGCGTGTTGCCCGAGTTTGATTTTTTTAAGTATTATATCTAAAAAGTTGAACATTCGATTCTATGAGATTAAATGGTATTTTGATGTAAATGCTTCGAGTTTTAATCGTTACATTCCACTATAACGATATATTATATTCCACTATACAGGGTGGTAAAAAAGTCCCTGGACAGTTAAATATTTTAAAAAATAATGCAGATAGAGCAACAATACTTGGTACAAAATATTCAGTGATCCAATAACTCTTCAGGGGGACGGCCCACAAGGAGTCGGAAGAAAATCTTTAATGGAAGCATAGGTCAATATGCACATCAAATTAAAGGTCTTCTTTAGTAGAATACAATGCCGCAAACCGCACTTCAAAAGGTTGATCCTGTGCAAAATGGCAGATGTTCAAAGATTTCTTGAATCCGCCATTTTGAATCTTTGAACGACTGCCATTTTTTACTCAGGCATTCTTTTAAGCTTGAATTTACGGCATCGTAATCTACTAGTGAAGACCTTTAATTTGATGTGCATATCGACCTATGCTTACGTTAACAATTTTCTTCCGATTCCTAGGGCTGTGCCCCCTGAGGAGTAAGCGTATAATAGTAATGTATTTTAAATGAATCTTTGAAGAACTGTCATTTTGCGCAGGATCAACCTTTTGAAGTGCGGTTTGTGGCATTGTATTCTACTAAAAGAGACCTTTAATTTGATGTGCATATTGACCTATGCTTCCATTTAAGATTTTCTTCCGACTCCTTGTGGGCCGTTCCCCTGAAGAGTTATTGGATCACTGGATATGTGTTTAAATAGAGTTTTATGCCCTGTAACTTTGTACCAAGTATTGTTGCTCTATCTGCTTTATTTTTTAAAATATTTAACTGTCCAGGGACTTTTTTACCATCCTGTATACTGAACATATTACACTTAGCCTATAGTCTACTTATTGATTTTTGCCTTTTAAATATCTGTGAGTGTGATATTAGCCTAGATTAACTTATTCTTTACTGTGTTACTGTGTTTAACCCTTTGTTATCATATAGTGTTTATATATTGACCATGTCTATTGCATTGTTATGCCAAATGACAGTAAAGGCTTTGGTTTTATCGTGTAGCTAAAATAATTCTGAACAGGGCGAAGAAACCGTAATGATAGGCAGATTAAGTGGTGGAATGCTAGGCCTACTTGTTACTCGAAACACGGCAGAGACAGCTGATGTCAAAACATTATGTGCTTTTTATCTCAAAAACGTAGCTAATATGACTGGCCAACGGAGTTCCAACATTTCCAACTGTTGTTAAATATCAAGGGCATCAGGATAGGTTATATTTCAATGTGTTTGTTTTCTTTAATATTGTCTCTAATGTTTTTTTTATGTGTTTCAGCTACTCAGAGGATTTGAAAATCGTCCAAGGGACCGAAAAGCAGAATGCACTTTGTAACGAATTTGATGAGAAACTGTTGAAACAAGCGGATGCTATACGGGCAAATCTCCCAAAGTATGAGCCACTCCAACGAAAGAAGAAAATTTTGAGCAAACACAAAGGTACTTTACATCACTGATTCAATGATATCTTTATAATTTTAATGTTTACTTGTGTTTTTGTTTGTATATTTGACCAACTAACAAAAGGGGATGAGAGTAGCCTACTGTGAAAGATAACTAAAGAAGGAATCCTTTGAAAAGGGATAGAGGTAAGCCAGCTTATCTGTTAATTGGAGACCAGAGGCTAATAGATACCTACACTGTAAAAGATAACAAAACATAACACCGATATTTCAGCCTTAAATAACCCATATTTATTTCTGATCATCCACTTAGCATTCCTTTTCACAACGACATATTTAGGTGGATAAGAGCTCTTTTCCAAGCTCTGACTCCCCGGTTGACTGGGATGGTGGCGTTGTCCTGTAATCCAGCTACTAGGAGGTCACAAGTTGTGGATATTTATAAACATGAACAGTGGATGCGACACTGCATGGTGTGGATTAACGTCCGCACCAGTGAGTACTACAGTCTAACCTTGATATAACGAACCTCGATACAACAAATTCCTTTTTTTTTTTTTTTTTTTTTTTTTTAACCCTTGATCCTTGATGTAGTAACTACCAAGATTAAGGATAAGAAAACATGGCGACATCTGATTACACACCTTGCTAGACTTGAATTTGCATTTACTATCGTTAACCTTCACTCCATATTCTTGGAAGCGTTGAAGAACTTGCTCCAACCTAGACACTGCTTCAGGGTATGAATGTCCGCCAATCAAGACATCATCAAGGTACGCTACCGTACCGGGAAGATTTTTAATTATCTCATCAATAGCTGCCTGAAACAAAGCAGGTGCACTGGATAGGCCATATGGCAAACGAGTAAGACGAAATAATCCTTTATGTGTTGCCAAGGTTAACAACTCCTGTGAATCCTCAGCGACCTCCAGTTGAAGATAGGCTGTCTGTAAATCAATAACAGAGAACACAGAACAACCAGATAATGAAGCAAAAATATCCTCGGGTTGAGGTAAAGGATAGTGTTCAGTTTGGATAACTTGGTTTAACGTTACCTTAAAGTCCCCGCATAGCCTAACTCCTGTAGGCTTAGGCACAACAACCAGTGGGGTTGCCCAGTCGGAACTCAAAACAGGATAAGCAATTCCATCATCCACCATCTTGTCTATTTCCTCTTCCACTTGTTTGCGAAGAGCGAACGGCACTGGACGAAATTTGCAGAACTTCGGTACAGCTCCATCTTTCAAAATTATATGTGTCTTCACACCCTTGATTGAACCTAATTTTCCTTCAAACACAGAAGAAAACTTTTGCCTTAAATGCTTAACATCTTCCTTGGCCCTAGGCTGAACCGAGTCAGCTGATTGAAGTGAAGTTAGGTTAGGTAACTTGTCAATAGAGTTTAGGCTAGGCCTATTAAAAACGTGCTCGTCGGAGCGGTTTACAGTTTTATCTTGAGAAAATATAGACTTCCAGTCTAAGGTTACATGTTCAAGCCAGTTTCTACCTAGCAACATTGGTTGACCCGTTTGGCCTAACTCTACAATAACTAACGGCAAGTCCTGATAAATTTGGTTGGCCGCTTTTACTCTAACCAAAATCTGTCCCAACACACTTACTTCATTTCCTGAATAGGTAAAGTAGTTTTACATAACAAGGCTTTAAAGCCAGATGTGAAAAATATTTCCGATACGACTCAAAGGGGCAGACCGTAAGGGCGCTGCCTGTATCGAGCTCCATGGTCACATTATGGTTTTCAATCATCAACCCTACTTCATAACCCGCTTTTCCATCTCCAAGGCCTACACTATACAGACATAAGTCCTGTAAAACTTCCGATGTCTCTTCAACATTGTGAACCTTAAACACTTTTTTGTTAGTCCTAGGCCTACTATCAGACACATCCTTTGACCTACACACCTTACCAAGGTGTCCAATTTTTTTACATATATTACATTTAAAATTGATATAAGGACATTCATGAGCCTTGTGCTCTTTCGCACAACGATAGCATTTGAGCTTATGAAATTGGCCAACTAGGCCTACCTCAGCAGGTGACCTTGAAAACTTAGCTGATTTAACTCCATGCTTGGCACTTAGGCCTACTTTACGTGGACCTAGACTCATTTTATTTAAATCATGAACATGGTTCCCTGAACCTACAAAAAGACTAGTTTGTTTTTCTGCTTGCTCTAAGGTTAGTGCTAATGAAAAAGTTGAATCCAAATCTTGTTCATCACTGAGAAGTTTTTGCCTAATTGCCTCATTGTGGATTCCAGATATTAATTTATCCCTGAGTGCATCCTTAAGAAAGGCTTTGAAGTTACATGTGCTTGATAAATGCCTAATTGCTACCATAAAATCAGCAATACTTTCATTGGGACGCTGAACACGTGAGTAGAACGTGTAGCGTTCGGCTACCACTAACCTTTTTGGAGAATAATGTGCTTCCAACACCTTTAACAGATCCTTATAATCCTTGGAATCTACCGAATCTGGTGATACTAAGTCCGTGAGAACAGCCAGAGCTTTTGGTCCAATTACAGTAATCAAAATGGATAACTCCGATCCTTCCTTTACGCTGTTGGCCTTCAAGTAGTGTTTCAGCCTCATTAAATATGACGAAATATCCTCTTCATGAGGGTTAAACTCCCCCATACTCCCTATTGAACGGGACGACATGGTTCCTCAAATTAATTTTTCAACAATCCGCACTCGCGAAAAAGAAGTTGAACAAAATTAACTTTACTACGACTGCGCCATTTGTAGTAACTACCAAGATTAAGGATAAGAAAACATGGCGACATCTGATTACACACCTTGCTAGACTTGAAGTGACGATCATCAAGACGGAAAACTCCTTGACCGATCGGCAGCCAATCAGGGAGCTCCACGCCGATGTAGGCAGTGCAGCCACCCAGTAACTTAATCTGTTTCCGGTTACTAATAATCTAATATGGTCCTATTGCTACTATACTATATTACACTTGATATAGCAAATTTTTTTAATCCCCGAGAACTATCCATAAGACACAATGTATATTTTTCCTCTACATAACGAACAAACCATAACAACGACCTTGATTTAACGAATTTTTCGTGATTTCAGCTAAAATAAGACACCTCAATATAAGGAATTTATAATTGTCAGAACTCTACGTAGTGAATTTAACCTCTACTTAAAAAATTTTCCACGTCTTTCCGTCGATATAACAAACTCCTCACCCCATTATTGTTTTTGGAAAATCTGTTTCTTTATGAAATAGAATGGAAAGGTGACGTCATCGCTTGCGCTAACATTCGTCTGCTCCGTTTTACACATCTTTGTCTGCTGCTGCTGTCGCTACACGCTATGTGACATACTGAGGACTGATTTGATTTAATTCACTGAGGAGACGTTTGATGACGACATAATGTTTAGTAAGCTGTGATTGGGCTTTTTTTGGATAAAGAGAAGCCTAAGAAAGAATATAAAAACAAAAGCGACAAGAAAGAATAGTAACATCGTTATCTTAACATTCCTTTAATGAGTGTTTTTAAAATCTTAAGTTCTAAAGTTCTAAGTTCTAAAATCTAAAGTTGGCTATGATTATACACTTTTATAATGACTTATCTAATAATTTATTGTTTTCGATATGATTTGTTTCAACTAGCAACACCTATAGTTGATGATTATTATTGAGATTCCTCTGTTGCGATAAATCAGTACTGTACTGTTAGTAGCCTACCGGCCTATCACAAGCAGTAGCTTACAAAACTCTCTACTGTCTTGTTTTGTTCTTTACGTGGTTTTTGACTATACAATACAGTGTTTGGCTAGGTTTTAGGAGGGTTAGATTAAGCTGTGATTTTAAACTTACGGTTTGTAGCCTGTACTAAGGTCAATGACTAGAAATATCATGATTGCGCAATATTAAAGATCACTCCCCTTTATTACCCCAGATAATTGTGGTTCTACTTTACAATGTTAACACTGTACTGTAAAGTATTTTAGCCTAGGCCTATGCTACTTTAATTTTGTTTTAATGAGGTCAAATCCTGACCTATATTGAGGATATTGACCGATGCTGGTTCTGAACCTCGGATTAGCGAAATAACTGCAAACTTAACCTCAATATAACAAACCTCGTTTTAACAAAATCCTTGATATAACGAATATTCAGTTCGGTCCCTTCAGATTCGTTATACCAAGGTTCGACTGTACGACTATCCACAGTACAATTCTGATAATAAGACCAATTTGTGAATTACTAGGCAAAAATGTGGTTCGGATTCCACTATAAACTGTAGGTCCCTTAGTTGCCATTGGGTGTATGGGCTATTGTACAACTGTGCCAAAGAATAATATGTTGGCCTTAGTCACTAACAGGACTACAAGATCTCGCCACTCATCTCCATTCGTACTTGGCTTAAAATACCTACATTCGTATGGTCGCCATTTTAAAGTAAAGTATTAAAGTTAATCAATGATACCAACGGTTATTACAAAATACTGCTGTGGAAATTGAAATTTCTCTTGTTGCAGGCTGCTGCTCCAGCAGTAGTAGCAGCAGTTCGTCTGAAAGCGATGGAGAAGAAGACCATACTAATGAGGAGCTGGAGCATAAGAAGAAACATCCCCTAAGGCTCCATCCAGAGCTCTGGTTTAACGATCCAGGAGAGGTACATCCCATGTTTTTACTTTTTTTCATAAGCTTAGGCTAAGACCAGTAAAACCTCGATCAGACGACGGTAGTATTAGCTCTAATCAGCATAGCAATTATTCTAGTGCAGTAAATGAACGATTGCTAGCGACGCTGAACTTTTTTAAAGTTGCTAGCGCTAATGAGGGCGCTAGCTGTCACATGAACAAGTAAACTAGCAAGGAGGCAAGAAGCAAATGCCCCCCCCCCACGAGATTTGGGTAGGCAAATATAGGGTAGGTAAATAAATCCAGTTAAAATACAGTACTATATATTTAAATTCCAAAGAAGATCATTTTTTTGTCTCTAGATTATCTAAAAACACAAGTTTTCTGTTAAAATATTTCAAAATATCCGGACCCTCCTTTTACTCCATATCCCCTAGCCTCCCTCCTGAAATCGTACCCTGGATCTGCCACTGGTTTTTAATACTAAGTAGACGACCCGTTTACATAGACTAGCTGTAGCCTATTAAGGAAAGAGTTGAATGAGGCACTCTTGAGTGTGATACTATCTAATATTGTATTTTCTCTCTTAGTTTTTACCAAGATAGGCCTAGTCAATGTGATATAATACCACAGTAACGGCAAACATGCAGACTAAGCCAATTTCCATTGGCCTCACTATATGTTAAATATTACCAAAAAACATATAAGATTTATTCACTATAAAAAAACATTAACCTAGTTTTAATGAGTAATTAACTTCAGTTTGCTGCTACAAGGAGTAGTTTACATTACCTTACCTATGTGCCTCTCAAGCCTTAGTAGGTTTTTGGCCACACCAACAAACAAATAGCTTATTTATAAAATAAATAAATTTGCCAAATTTTACCTATTATTTAATATACTTATCCAAAGAAACTACAACAATTCAATTATACTACAAGCATAACATGGAAATTTAAAACTTAGAGTCATTTAAATGTTTTCGGTAACTATTTTAAGCCTACATCAACACTTCAGATATATACTGAATAGTATGCTTTTAAGCTCCACAAAATGGTTTGAAAGAAAATTTTAAACTTTAATGATTTGAGAGTCAAAAGTGTAGTTGTTCTTGACAAAATGAGTTCTGTTTAGATGAATGACGGACCCCTATGCCGGTGTAGCGCCAAGGCTCAACGCTCTGGAATTCGACACAACATTTATGCCGGCGAAAACCATCTCACCCTATGTGATCCCAACTCAAACAACGCTGACAGACTGCATCATTACCGTATTACCGTCACACCTGTCACCAACTTTCTGGTAAGTCTTGACAACTTGTTACCGTAGCTCCTTTCAAAATGTCATTTTCAAAATGTGCGTGAATCAAGTATAAGAACCATAGCCTCGTGTATACAGGCAGCAACATTGGTGGGTGGCATCGTCAGACTGGCCTTCCTATTGCCATGTTAACAGTAACAACGTTGCGCAGATGCTTCATTATAAATTAGTTCAACAACTGTTTTGGCACTTTTGTCTCGCCGCGGCCTCGTAATAGAGGAGGCTATGTTTGAACTCTTGCTTTATAGCTTTCTCAGATTATCTTACTAACTACGAGTATAAATACCACAGCTAAACGAGAACCTATTAGTTTTGACTATTCTAGTTTTTGTGTGTTTAATTGTACTTGCAACTATTTTGTCAGTAAGTTCAACCTACCCACTACAAAACTCTTAAAACCATAGCCATCTTTACCAAACAATATTAAGGTATAAATACCATTAATCACAGTTAAAACATTCATAGGCCTACTATGAGTGAAACTAAAACATAGATGTGATTTGCCAATAAACAATTAAATTTTTCAGGAGTTTAGAGCTCTTCTGTTGTCTTGAGCATCAAATTGTATATTTCATATTGTAAAACTATTACAAGAAAAACCTAACACAAAATGGAAGAACGAAAGGTGAACAAACTGAAGGTTATTAACTATGTATTAGGAACTTTTTTGTAAAAAAAATAATAGGCTTGATATTTTGTGTAGCTCTCTGTTTACTCTAGATTCAACAGCTATTTGATTAAATCCTACCTATTTTATGAATACAGTAGAACCTCTTTAATCCGAACCCCCGTTATCCGAACGTCCACTAATCGGGACCCCTTATTGCTGTACTCTATACACAGCACAGTACAGTAGTTCTTTATTGTATACTGTATTTATTGATATAGTTGTTGTTCCTATTGTAATGTACAGTAGGCCTACTGTTTATTCACTAAGTTTACTACTGTAATTATTAAATAAACACTGTATTTTACTTTATACTATAAAGCATTTTTCACTTTTCCCGTAACAAGTACGATCCATTTTAGCCACGTTTAGCTAATTGTTATGTTAAAACAATAAGTTCTGTAATCTGAACTATTCAATGCTACACCTGCTTCATCAAACCTGCAGACTAAGCGAATTTCTATTTGCCTGATTGCATTTTTACTCAAATATATGCTTTTATTGACAAAACAAAACAATTACTGTAGTCTACTAAAGCCTACCACTGTACTGGAAATAATCAACCAATTGTTTAAAGGTTAGGCCTACTAGCACATTAAGCAGTGACCAGGGTGTCTACCAGTCGGAAATTTAGGTAATAGTCGGGGAATTTGAAAGGTCGGGAAAAGTCTTGAAAAACCATATATTTCGGCCGAAGGTCGGGAATAATCTAACCCTTAAAAATTAGGGATGAACGGATAACAAAACTTGGAAAAATTTTCAGGATCGCTTATTCCTGATCATTGGGACGGGATTACAAATGATACAGGATTTTCTAGGTACGTGATTCGTTCTGATCGTCGGGGATTCCGCTGCGTCACAAGTCACAAGTAACGATGATGACGCTTCCGCAATTGCAAAAAATATCGCTGGTATTGCGGCTGACGATGATGTCTCCATGGTTGAGAGACATATTCGTGATGATTCCGCGAACCTAAGAGACGATGATGATATCTCGGTAATGGCGGAGATCTTCAAACTTGCACCATGATCACGAGACAAGTCAAAGATGGCTCTGCAAACGTGAAACATGATAACGATGGTGCCGTGATTGTGGGACATGTTGACGATAGTGCCGTGACCGTGGGACATGTTGACGATGGTACCGTGACCGTGGGACATGTTGACGATGGTACCGTGACCGCGAGATGGAAAAAGGTGTTGTAACATGGAGAAAGGATCAAGTTTTAGGTCAGGATTTTTTTTTCATGGCAATGAAATGTCGGGATAGAGTCGTTAATTTAATTTGAGAAATCTGGTAGACACCCTGAGTGACTACAGCAAAATGTTAAAAACCTGACCAATTGTAAGAGCACTCAAGAATATTGACTTTGGGAAGTAGCCTGATTTCAAGGACCGATTTATGAAGGGTCTGCTTTACTTGAAACAGTTTTTTGTTGTTATTTTTCTTAGAATACCTGCTACGAGTTCTTTGGTACTTACCTGCTATGAACTTTTTCAGATTCAATCACCAACTGTTATCATGCATGATGGCCAGGAATACCTGTTTGAAGGATTCTCAATGTTTACCCACAAGAAGCTTGATGAATTACCTCTTTGCAAAGTTATAAGATACAATATTGAATACACAATACTCTACTATGAGGAGAAGTTTCCTCAAAACTTCACTGTTAAGGAGTTAAATCTTTTCTGTAAGTTTAAATATTTCTTGTTTATTGACTGATAAATTGATTTTTAAGTCCTTACTAGGTACAGGTAAGTATGAACACAACACACAAAAATCCAGCTCCTAAATAGAGGTGTGCGGATAGCCAACATTTCGGGTTGGTTTTGAATATCCGTAACTAAACCGAGCCCCAAATTTGATACCCGACATTATTCGTTAAGTATCCGACCTCTCCAAAAAGACTGTATATGATGATGTTTGAGACTGAGGTCAAAATGTTCATAAAGGTTACTTATAATAATTTCAACACCACTCGTTCCCATCAACGTTACAGCGGTCGATGAGTCATCATCTATGACACAAAACTAAAACATTCATATCATCGCCGTGGAAAATAACCGAATCAACAAATAAATACAGTAATGATAATCGATATACCACGTACCTTAACTATACCGCATTACAATAAATCGGGAACAAGGCAGTTAGTTTAATTTACTATCGAACAGCAACAGAGATAAAGCAGAAAAGAACAACCGAGGACCAAGGTCAAGTGAAAGTCAATTCGTGTAAGTTGCCTGTTACTAGGGGTGCTACGCTACGACGCCATTAGTCACTAATCAGCCATTATTTATGTGCCACTGCAAGACAATAATACAACAATGTTACAACTGTCAAAAAGTTTGACTGCTGTGTCAGGCACTTGAATCTACTAGTAGCCTAATGTTTTCCTTTGCTTGTCTATAAACTCTTCAACATCGCAATTCACAACATCTGGGCTCTTATTTCAATAATGTTCGTTCTGTTTCGATCAGTGAAAATTTCAAAACGGCCAATAAGGTCACGATCATTGAGAAATCTGACGAAAAGCCTCAGAGAACCGTAAAAAAATATATTCATCCAAAGAAACTACAACAATTCAATCCTACTAAAAAGGATCCCTTCAAGGCTTCGGTGTCTTGTGTTCGAATCCGATAATCTATATTGTTAATTTCATATATATCCTGATGTAGCACATCAGAGTACCTTTCATTCACATATGGTATTCTGGTTTGGGGAAACTCATGCCACTCCAACAAAATATTCAAACTTCAACAAAAAGCAATTAGAATTATTGGGCGAGTTCCTCATAGAAATCTTTGTAAAAGTCTTTTTTAAACATTTTCAGTTTTAACATTTTATGATCACTATATTTTAGAAATTTCAAATTGGGTTGAAGACAATCTGTCCTCATTCATGACCCAACCCATTCATTCCCATCACACTAGATTTAAGAGTTATATTAAGCCTGAAACCCATAGATTAGAGAAATTTAATTTATCTCCCCAATATAGGCTATAGGCCCACAAGTTTACAATAAGTTACCACTCCACATAAAAAATATTGATAGTAATACACAGTTCAGATCCACCCCGAAGACCTGGTAAAAAAAAATTTGTTTTCTATTGCATGTTATTTAAATAGGGACATTAAGTTAGATTAATAATTTAGTAAGACATTTTTGTTATTTCTTAGTTTTAGTATTATCCTGTATATGACTTTATGTCCTGTCAAATGATGTAATGAATAATTAAATAAATAAATAAATGGGAATTTCAGACTTTGAGCGGGAAACAGGAATCGGAATTTGCTGCTTTCCATATAAAAACTTATTATTGGTTGGATAATTGTTTATGACATTGTTATTGCAAGATTTAAACGTCATTTAAATGGTAATATCTAAACATATTACAACAAAAAGGTAACACGGAATAAACCAAGTCGGATAAAGCGGGATTTTAGATTCGTTAAAGTGGGATAAAACGTGATTCTCTTGACCGGTTGACCTGGTGAGTGGGATTTTTATTTGGTTGTGTGGACTGTGGAGTGTGAGTAGATTGAAACCGTTAGGTAATACAACTACAAAAGCGAAATAGTTGTTGTCTGACTGTTGCTGTTTACATAAAACTGATGTCAGTAGTTTCTTCTTTAGTTGAAAACAATAATAAAATAAATTGCGTTTTGTATTGGAACTGGAACTGGAGTAGTTTGGTGTGACATTGGAAAATGTCAAAATATATAACATCAACAATTGACATAACCAAACGAACAAACCGGGACTGAGAATTTTCTGAATTGAAAGATTGTTCGAGTTATGTTTAACTGTGAGAATTATTCGTTGCAATTTAATTCATGTGTCCGGAGCACTAAAGATAACTGATTGGATTGCAGATTAAGTTAAGTAGTTAGGCCCAATGGTGTAAGTCACACCCTTGTTATCTGTAACAAAGTCCTTTCCATACGTTTTTTTCTGTCCAAAAATATTAAAATAACTTGAATAAATCTTGAAAAGCTACAAAATATGACTTAGGCCCTTGGTCATTCTATGTATTTAAGTTATGTCTACAGTAGTTATTCCCCTACAGTACCTACCTACATTATCTCAATTAATGTCATTGTTAAGAAATTTATTAACATTTGTTTAGCCTACAGTGAAAGCAAAACAAGTAGGCTAGGCCTAAGCCTATTTTAAACCATTTGTATTTTTAATACTGTTTTTCTATTGAAAAGAGATTGTAAGCTACTAAACATACATTTACAATAGGACTAAGCCTATTATCAAAGACTTCAAATTTATTTAGCATTTTTACTAAGATAAAAATAGGCTGAGACCTTAAATGACATTAGCAAACATGCTTGTAGTCTTAGCTTACCATCTCACGTATCAGATATAAGTTAGTGCCAGGATTGGCCTGGTGTCAGTAGTTGTCTTTTTGTAAATTGGCTGGTAGTGAGTCTCATTACAGTTTTTTATTAAAAGTTGATGTACACAAACAAACCAAGCTTCATCAACCAACATATTAAGTAACAACTAACAAAATGTTGAATTACAGTAGGTACTTTTGTATACTCTTCTAAACATTAACTGATTGGCAAGCAAGCTTTTTAACTTAAATATTTTATCTGATGGCCAACAACTAATGCTAGCTTATTGAAAAAACACACCGCTACCAGTTAATATACTACCAGTAATATAAATAGCTAATGTTGTTCAATTTTTTTTAATCGTGTGTTATTTTCTTATTTACTATTACAGAAATGTAAGATGTAATTTCAACATTTGTGGTCTAGGGATATAAAAACAAAACAAAACACCCAGGTAAATAAATTTAATCCATCATACAGTAGAGTAATTTTGATCTGATCAAAAACATTAATTTAATGTTACGATATATAAAAATGACGTTAACTTATTAGGCTAGGTATTAATTTATTAAATAACAGCGAACTATCCGCATTCGGAGCCAAAACTATCCGATCCATAAACTAAAATTTAACTATCCGGCATCCGCACACCTCTACTCCTAAACAGAACCTGTAAAGTGTGAATTTGTGACTTAAACAAAATTTGGGAGAATTTCGAATAGAGCACATCTAGACTCTTTTTCGATTGACTTAACCTAAATTTCAATAAGGTACATTCTGCTGTTGCTATCTGTATCTCAGAATCGTCTTGGATATGTGACTCAAACAACAATAATATTTACGTTACTGTCAAAGGCATGAAGACATTGCCTTTCAAATAATATCCTATGTGCCTTGAAATAATTTGTTAAACCCCGTTCACACGGGTCGAGTTTACAAGCTACAAGCCGGATTTTTTACACGCAGCTAGTAAAATAGCTCAGTGTGAACGACATACTCGCTCAAAAGCTGCTTGCAAAATAGCTCTGGAAAAAGTTGACGCAGCCGCTACTTTACACGCCAACTCGTCAGCTTTTGAGCTAGTAGGCGTGTAAAGTAGCCCAGTGTGAACACAGTTGCTTGTGCTTGTGCGCATGTTATTCGAAGATGTCGGAGGATTTAGTTCAAGCCAGCTACTGAGCGAGTGGAAAAAGCATTGTGTGAACGACTACAAGCGCACTCGCCGGCGTCTTTCTACACGTCTGCGAGTTGGCGAGTGGACAAGCTCTGTGTGAACGAATACAAGCACACTCGCCCCGTGTGAAAGAGGCTTTATTTCATTGTTTTACACTATTCCTGATTATAATCACAAGTTAGCTATGGTTAAAAAATTATATAACAAAAAAACTGTATACGAATGATAAGGTTTTCAGTTGCACATTTTAACAATATAATTTTAACAATAATTTTAAAATATAAACACAAACAAAGCACAAGAGACGGTAGTGTGTGTATGTGTTAATGAATCTGAAATTTTAAATACCAAAATGAGGGTACTAGTTCAGTCCACTGCGGTACCAGAACAAAACATTTTTCTTTTCTTTCCGTCTAACCCTTGTATGGTGTTAAGTAAGTCTATAGCAGTCTTCAATCTCTACAACTATATCTGGAATCTAAATAAGCAACCCTAAAAACACAAAATTTTGCAATTTATCTAAAAAACAATTATTTTATTATATTAAAGCAATATTGTACTATTAATGGTCACAGGAAAAATTAACGTAACATTAAAAATTCCTATATATTATTTTGAAAATGTGTTAACTGTTGTAGTTTGCTTGTTTATGGATGTGTTTTGTTTAGTTGGCAAACTTATTCATGCAATTTATTTATATAAAACAAAGCTACCGTTATGTCACTTTTTGTGTTTCAAGTTTTATATAAAAATGTATGTTTACAGATAACTACTTGTTCAAAGAAATTCTTGAACTAGTGGACTTGGACTTCCACGCTGCTGGGGATAAAGAAGGCTGTCCTCAATATCATTTCATGCCACGATTTGTAAGGGGACTTGAAGGTAATGTCACTCTACCGTTTAACCCTTTCTGTACAGTATAGTTTCCCTTCCTGCGCTCATTTCTGGAAAACCCACTCTGAGTAAAAATGTTAATTGTTTAATCTGGAAAAAGTAAATTAGACTGTCAACAATTAAGTATACAAAACAGACAAGCCTAAATGAGGATAAGTGAAATGACATACCGTAAATAATTTAAGTGCAAGATAGATAATGTAAAATAACACAGATACATTTTTCACCGTTTTTCTGTATTAGTTTACCTAATAATTGTAATAGGATAAATGAAATATTTTATAACTATTTTTTTGTATCTAAAATTTGGGTGCATAGTTTAAAGGTTCAATAATTTATCCAGTTAAAAAAATACACATTTCCATTTTTAATCAGAAATGGAGAGAGAGCTCTTTTCTTACATGTTTTCAGATGTTAAATCAGATAGCACAGTTTTTCTTTCCTAAAACCCCTGAACTGTCAGATACCAAAAATGTCCTACCAATCTGTGCAGAGTTCTAAAGTCAGTTAAGTATCATTTTTGTTTAAGTCACATGCAGAATGTAACAGGCATTTTGAAATAGACAAAGATCAGAGTGAAAACACAAATGTAATGTACACATGTTGAAGGTAAACTCTTTAGCTATTGAAACTCAGTGACAATGATTTGTAATTTGCTGACCGACTGAATAAAAGCCTTATTATTCTACATAATCACCATTCAAATTGAGGCAAATTGATTCAAATTGATTCATTGAATTGTCATACCATACCAGCTTTAATATTCCTGATAAATAAATCTGCGGCCATTGACTTCAATCGTTGGTATATACAAAGTGTGAAGCTTAGTGTCAGTTTCGAATCCTTGTTTACCGAGTCACTTTCATTGCAGGGAAGGATTGGTAGTCGCTTGGTGCCAAATCCAAACTGTCAAAAACCTCCCAATCAAATCTGTCCAAAATCTCCTTGGTTTTCCGTTAAGAAACTTTGAATCTTCAAAAATATAATTTGAATTAACTAAAAATATATTCAAATTAATGCCATGATTTGCATTTTTACATCAACATTGCACAATCATGATATTTAGGTCATTGGCCGTTATTACGCATCTGGTTGTGTTGATTCAGAAGAGAAGCAGAGAGACAAAATTGTGTAACAAAACAAGAAAGTAGAGTTTAAAAACAATATTTCTCTGTTCAAAATGGAAAAAATGTTGCTGATTATTTTCATAGAAATTAATTTACGAGTTTGTGTCTTGTTAAGGAGTATGTTTAATCTATGCTAAAGACTGTGAAGTGCAGTTCTATCCTCATAGCTTACTAGTTGCTACTCAGACAACACTTTCAGATTGCTAAATATAGGCTATTGTTAATTAATCAAATAAGAATGGTTGACAGTCTTGTGTTTCCATGCCAGTAGGTTGTAGTAAGCCTATCGTATTGGAGCATTGTAAGCTAGCCAGCTGAGCGGAGGGATTTTAATAATCACACAACAAATTATCGTCCTTGAAAATGGTCATGAGATGTTGGGATAAAATAAAACAACACAATACCATGATTTATTTGGTTGAAATTAGAGATTATTTCTAGGTTTTTGTACTGTTCGAATGTTCGAATATACTCATTCAGATTGAGTCGGGCTCGAATACTAAAGTATTCGTTCAACTATTCAAACTTTTGAATATTCGCGTACCCCTACTTTAATGTACTTGTTTTAATTTTGTGAATTGGTAAAGTCCCGGGGGGCATTTTATATCCCGAGTATGTTGGTTTACTGGGTTGATCCCTGTTTGTGTCCTAGGGTTGCCACCTTTCTTGTTGACAGTTTGCATACTCAGGGATTCATGGGTGATTGTGTGTCTCCATTTACCCAGTTAATATGGTTTACTCAAGCCGCCTGTTGTGATATGACCGATAACTTTGTTTCCACTTTTGTGGTAGTCTTCGAGGAATGTCAACGTTGCTGCAAGTCTCTGTTTATGTGATCATCTGTGAAGATTATTGGAACCTACCGGGCATAAAATTCGTGATGACCAAGTTTTTGACAACAATTTCATGAATCAAACTCCGTGAAATTTTAGGAAAATATTTTGTCAGTTTCGAAATTGTGACACAGTGCTTTTTATGGTTTGTTTTGTGTCATAAGGCTAGGCCTTATTGTGAACATTAGTTCAGTTATTTTTTTAATCAATGCACCACTGTCTCACTCGGCCTTCACTATTCCTTCCTTGTCGTAAATTTCACCAATCTGGCAATAAATTTGAACATCTGGCAGGGTTTTCAATGACAGCACTCATTTGTAACACTCCACTGCAGACAAAATAGGGATAGCTGGATGCGTACTATATGTATGAACACTGTTGGCAAGATGGCGGTAATAGCCTTAAGCAGTTTTCGTCAAATGCAAGCAGAAGCAACCTGTCTCAAACCAACAATTTATGGCTTAACACCCTAACGCTAAAACTGAAATATCGAGTTCAGTATATAGGACCCCTATTTTATGAGCTTTTAGTTTTCTTGTCATAGTCATAGTCATTGTCACAAAACTTTATTCATAGCATACAGGGTTGTACATGAATAGTGTCAAATAAATTAAAACTAATGCTTAAAACTATGATAAAGCCATTTTCAATTCATCTAAAGAGTACAAGGACAGAGAGGTTCATTAAATATTCCTTGAGAGGTTTTAAAAAAATGTTGGGTTTTTGTTTTAATTTTTAAAGGAATAAATTGTAAAAATTCATGTCCTGCATTGGCAGTCTTTTTTTAAGAGCTCTAATTAATTTATGTTTTCCAATTACAAAGTTTTTTTTTGTTAAGTGTATTGTAGTTATGATTGTTTTCTTTGTCACAGCATGTTGCCCATGGGTACTCTTGTAATAGGTATATATTACAAAATATGTAATATGTAATTTTATATTTCAGATAACGGGAAGGAGATTCTCTCTATGAATGTTGTGTTGAAGTATCTTCTCCAGAGCTCAATACCCTTGATCCCAAAAGAAGATCTGTCCGAGATTAAGAACATGCCTCAGCACGAATGGCAAAGATTTACTGAGAATATCAAAGGTAAGGTTATCAATTAATCAATCATTTAATGTCACAAGACATTTTCAACAGTGCAGTAGAGCTGGGAAACATGTCATTGTCAAAAAAGTACAACCTAACCTATACCAAAACATTTTCTGTCGATCATAGATTATTAATTTTAAATTTAAGAGTCTATTCCACAATTATTTGTACTCATACGTCGGTGGAAAGGTATGTTAAAGTGTGCAATGTCAGGAATGGCATACTAGGACGGAACATATCCATCCCATCGCTAATGCGCTCTGGCATTACTAGACGGAACTGTTCCATCTTGGGACATTACTATTCTACTTTATTCCGAATGATTGTAGCATTTTTCAAGTAAATAATTTTTCTGTCTTATCTGCAATAGTTATTGTGTGTATTTTTAGTTTCTTTGGTTGCCTAACCTGGCATGGAAAACAACAATATTAGTACACTACAAGTGACAGTTTTGAGGTTATGTTTTGTGTAAAAATGCCGTGCATTTCATTGGCCCATGACACAATGGAGGTGCACACGTTACAGAAGGGTTGTGGATTAATCATTGTTGTCACTGCTCGAGGCATCAAGTACAATCTTTTAAAAACACCGCTTTATAGCCAGTTCTCATTAAAAAATCTTGAAGCAGCCTATGCCAGAGAGCCCTTATAAATGTTGGAAGAAAGATGACTGAGGGTTGTTGGGGAGGATTTGAGGTATGCAGGCACATCAAACAGCTTATTGTGCATGACGCTGGATAAAAAATGAATCAAGTATTTTTTGTTTGTCAGGTATGATCGTTACGTACCCTGGTAAGAAGCCATCGTCTTTGAGGGTTGATCAACTTGACCGAGACGAAGATGAAGATCAGGACAACGAGTCCGATCAAGATCAGGACAACGAGTCAGATCTTGCCAGCAAGTCCACATTGAAGTTTCCTGAAATCGTCCACTTTGGCATCCGACCTCCCCAGCTGAGCTATGCTGGGAACCCTGAGTAAAAATGCATTTTAATTAATAGTAGACTGTATTCCAGAACATGTAGTGATTCTCTAATTGAACACGTTATCACAATTCCTATTATAAGTTGGTCTACTTAAATTTTAACAATTCTATTATCCTAAGTAATGAAATATCTAAACATTAAAGTTAATGTTTAAGGAAAGGCTCTATGCCAGGTTTTTATTTGAAGAATAAATTGATAGCAGCTAGCTTACCTTAGAAGAAGTATAGGTATGGCACAGAACACACATAAATCACAATATATAGGTCTACAGATAAAAAACTAACGGTAAATGGAAAATAAATGCTCTCCTAAGTTCTTTAGGTTGTTTAAAAATCAAAGCTTTTTTAGCTCTTGATTAGCAACGATGTGATGGCCAATATAAACGACTTTGATATTATCGGGAAAGCTGACTAAAATTATTTAGTTCATTATTTGTTTCTATTGTTTATTTTAGTTTTGATAGAGGTCCGGACAATAAGTTGATCTAAATTTATTTTTAAATTATGCTAAACTATTACAAAAGAGCTACTTTGGTTCAATCGTATTGGACTAGGAACATTGAATGAACTAATGCTAAACACACTTGACTGCACAGTTATTAAACAACAGTTCTATATTGAAAATAAAGAAATACTGCAATAACATCCGTACAGCCTTGGACGAACAAGTAATGTTTGTTTACGTGGACTTGGACTGTAAATAAAGTGGTGCTGTGTTATTGTGTGAGTTTAAGTCCATATAGGTTTCCGTCTGAAACTAACGGATCTGATCAAGATCCAGTCTACTGTATGTTATAGAATAAGAATACAATTATGTAAGTTACCATTTGTGGAAGAGTTTTGTACCAAGTAAATAAATGGCCATATTACAGATACCAGAAAGCTTGGAGGGAGTATGTGAAATTCAGACATCTCATGGCAAACATGCCAAAGCCCTCATTTAACGACAAGGAAAAATTGGAGCTAAAGGAGATCAAATTGCAGAGCATGAGGACGAAGAGTGAGCTGAAACGCAACGTAACTGTTACAGTTAGCAGTGAGAACTTTCGTCTTACAGGCATCATGTGTGATGTTGTTCAGGTAATGTTGGATTCTTTCCTGAGGTCTGTAACCTCAACTGATACTGAATACCATATACAGATGGATCTGAGTATACATTGTGTCAATTAAAATGGCGAGTATGATGCATATGTACGTTCGACATGCATATATTTCCGTGACCGCGATGATGACGTTTCCGTGACCGCGGGAGACGATGGTGATGTCTAAACGGCTGTGGGAAATTTAATGATTTTGCCGTGAATGCGGACCACAACGATGACTTTTCCGTTAGGCATGACCGTGGCAGTTAATAATTATGTCTGCACGTCCCCGTAAGATTTCATGATAAGAAAATCCTTACCCTAATTGGCCAGTTAGAATTTGTCATTGCTGCATTCTGTCTTTACTTGAGAAAACCACAATATCTTAATAATACTTTTTACATAAAGACAGGAATGTGTGTAGTATAACCAAATTATTTAGAAAATTTGGTTAAATCATAAAAACTGGTACGGTATCAAGAATCGAGAATTGATACATTTTGGTATTGACACTCACTAATTGTTGAAAAACTAGTCTTGTAAAATCTGGAATTAGTTTTGAATTTTAAAATGGAAATAAACTAGACACCCTGCAATCTTTAACCCTGCTTCTTGGCACAGTTTTGTAGAGCACCCTTTCAGCAACTAAGCAACATTGATTTGCCGATGTGGTACTATGTGGGGTATATCATTGCACATGCCATAAGGAAAATTTCGGCATTTGAAAACCATGGAAACTTGAGGAGCAGTAAGAAAACCACAAGGTTAAAACTAACTTCTTGCTATTCTATATTTTCGATTTGTGTACCTGTAAAACTTATTTTTTATGGCCTATTATGTTGAATGCAGCATTCCTATTTTATAGCCTCAACTACAATTTTCCAGTTACAACACAACTTTGTGTTATTACAAAAATGCAATAGTTTTTGGTTTCAGACTCCACTGGAGTTAATTTTAAAGAAACCTGCAATAACGTACATTGAAAGTATAGTCAGTGATTTGAACTAATATAAGGATTTTCAGTTTTGTCCAAGGAAAGGCTGTAGTCGAGGATTTTGAATTGTGAAATAAAGAGGATTAGCCGCTAGCTTACATTAGAAGAATTACAGGTAGGACATACAACACACATAAGACACATAAAAACACAATATTTCGTCCCCTGGAAGTTCTTTCTCTATACCTGACCCCCTGGAGGTGACATATTGTGTTTTAATGTGTCTTCTGTGTGTTTGTATGGTCTACATGTGCTTCTAAGGTAAGCTAGTTTCTATCCTCGTTATTCCCTATGGATTTTTTAGGTAGCTGTAAAAATAAATTAAGAACCAGTTTTCTTATGTTATAATATCCTCTGGAGGGAGTTTTTGAAATTATTTTTGTTTATCTTTGATTTGTTAGGTTAGGTTAGGTTATTGATAGGTTATTGATCGTAAAAATATAGTGAGACACTGCTTTAAATTTTGAAAACCTTTTTGTTATCTTTGTCAATTCCTGCTGTTGTTTACAGCATGCAATGTTGATCCCGGTGTTGGTCTCCCATCTGAGGTTTCACCGCTCATTGGATGTATTAGAGGAAAGCATTCACTACAAGTTTGAGAAACGCTATCGCCTTCAGCTTGCCATGACGCACCCCTCTTACAGGTTTGTTATAGTGATAGTCGAAACCAGAAATTTTGAACCTTAAAACCGAATTAAAACATAAAAAAAATATGGGATTGAAGATCCCAAAACTTAAAGGCAAAAATTTTGAACTTGCTTGCTTGAGGTTGCAAAGAAATGCACGTAGTTATAAAATGGTTATTATGCAATCAAAAAATAATACTGGAATAAATTTTACTACTTTTTTAAGTTTTGTCTTAAAACTTGCATCAAATCTTAAAACCAAATCTTTTCCTTGTGGTGGTGTTGAGATTTGAGATTCGGTTTTCCCACATTGATTGTTGTAATACAGTACACCCACTCTAAACTAACTCTTATGTAACCATGACTAGTTCAGTTAACGTAAAATCTTGGTTAAAACAGACAAATATGCAAACATTTACGATACTTTACAAATGAATGTTTAATTGATATTATATGAATGAAAAATGTTGCTACCTAGTAATTAGTGATGGTCGGATCCGGATATCGGACTACCGGATCCGCCGGATCTGAGCTAGAACCGCCGCCCGATCGGATCCACAAAAAATCGGATCTTGGGCTGGATCCGGTTTTAATGGATCAGATTTTATTTTTATACTATTAACACAAAACGGGCGAGTATTCGAGATTTCGAGTTCGAGTAGAGTACAGCCTTGGAACTCGAGCTTATCTTTGAACTTGTCAGTTTGGTTTAAAATTTTAAAAAAATCAATATTTGTTAAAATGTAACTTGTGATTACATAAAATGATAGAATGATAAAATGATAAATATAGAAATAAGCAAGAGGTAGTTGTCCTAATCTTTTTTTATAGCTGTCACAACAGAATTGGTCAACTCAAAGCAGTCGCCGGTGACTGACTGGCAATGGTAAACTGACTTGACACAGAATAGAATGACATGATCGGTAGTGATTTTGTTTTAAAGTAGGCCTACTTTTTCACAATAGAAAATTCCACTATTGAACTGTTACGTAAGCAATAAATTTATGTTTAAAAAAGTCAGAATAGAAACACTATAAAGGCAAAACAATAGAAGGGAGGGAGGGGTTGTGCAATGACCTCGAAATGAGCGGCATAGCAACAGTGATTAGGGGTTGGGGGGAAGGGAAGGGTGAGACCTTTGAGCTATATTTAGACTAGACATTCACCACTTCCCAAATGGCTGGGTACAGGGATTACAATAGCAGGTTTTTTCCTTGCCTGGTTTGACTTTTGCCTTTTTGTGTAGGAGATTTGAATAATCAAAAATATAATCTGAATTATTGACCACAATTATTTAGCATTGATAATACAATTTGCAAGGGACCAGGAGAAATATTATTCGAATTAGAGTTAATGCCATGATTTGCATTTTTAATACTTAGTTTACAATCTTTTCTTACGACATTTACATTACTCCACCTTAAATAGAAGTTGTGTCAGTGACATAACGGGAGCGTTTCATAAACTCCAAATTTCACAAACTCCAACGCTTAAAATATTAAATAAACAGAGCGGTTCATAACCTCCAATTTTCATAAGCTCCAAATCTATAACATTCAAGTAATCACTGTTTCACAATGTCCAAATTTCACAAACTCCAACGTTAAGATACCAAATAAACAGTGCGGTTCATAATGTCCAAATTTCATAACCTCCAACGGTACAGTCTGAGCCAGAAGTCTCTACAGTGGTTGCCACAGTAGCAGGCACCGTTCGCCAGCGCTCAACTACTGATTATACGTGCATTTTATGATTGAAGAACACTCAGCTCTGTGACTCAAATAATGTGTTAGCACACAATGTGCAAATCAAATTTACATTTTAAAATTTTTAATACCTTTAATTCAAGCTTTCAGCTGAGTTTCTTAACTGTTCCGTCTCTCAATTAAAAAGCCAATTATTACATTACAAATATCGTAAGAGATTTTTTTACCGATGACAAATTTTAAAACATATAAATATGTTTTATAAGTATATTTTCTAATAGCTGTTAAAATTTCATAATGATTACATCAGTTGTTTTTTTGTTATGTGTAAAAATAGCCCTTTGTTAAAAAAGTGCCGAAAACCTTGTACTTTATTCATTCTACCCACTGAAAGGATGAGTTTAAACTACATAAAAAGGTAGGAACTAACATACATAAACGCAGAAATACATTTTTATAAGTAGGATTTAACTTAATCATCATATTGTAGGTATACTGGTCACGTTTCAATAAAAGCTCATACTCGAGTATTTACACTTTTTTACTAGATTGCAGTCTCGTTTCTCTTTGCAACTTAATGTGGCTAGTTCAATAATGTTAAAGTTTTGACAAGGTGATAATTTATATTTTGATTTGCCTTTTCAGTGGAGAGCTAAGCATTGTATATATTTTATTTACCAATAAAAATGCGTAATCACAAACAGTGGAGTCTTTGACTGTCGTATAAAATATTAAGGTATGAAGTTGTTGTTGTTGTAACGATTATTGCGTATTCTATTTAAAAATAGTGTTCAATGTAAATAATTCAACAAGTTATTAGATAGGTAACTTTTATAGTTTTTAGATTCTATTTAGCAAATTTCCCTATAAGAAAGTACAGTAGCTGTAGGTGGCATGGTAAGACCTAGGCCCGGGACCGATTTACTTTTTGATTTTGATGTCCCCAGAGGCCAAAAACACAATTCGTTAAAATTGTTATATTTGTATATATATGTGTACAGCTGTCCGTGTGAAAGCATGCATTTTCTAAATTTAAACCGACGACAGTCAGGGATTGCCCTGGTGTCTTAAAATGGTTATTGCGAAAGCAAGACAAAAAGGAAATTTTAGTTTCTTAAATTCAGAGGGTAATTCGGATGAAATCATCATTATTCTTTGGATTATGACTATTTCTCCTTTAAACTTACCACTGATAATTTTTGCTTCAATCACTTTTGGTGTCATTTTTAGCGAATTTCCTTATAGGGAAATAAGCTATTACTGTAGGTGGCATGGTAAGACCTAGACCCGGGATGGATTTACTCTTTCATTTTGATGTCCCCAGAGGCCAAAAACACCATTTGTTAAAATTTTTATATATGTATATATTCAATTCAATTCAATTCAAACAATTTTAATTAATGCAATATTTTTATTAAATACATAATCCCTTGTGACATGCAAAGCACGCGCGGGATGAAAAACATATTTTTATTAATACATTTCATTTTCTTGTTTCTGGCAGAAAAAAGCTCATTTTTCCTTCTTTGTCACTTTAACAGAACAGTGAGTAGACATTTCCTATTGCAACAGTTTTAATCATATAAATAACACTTAGACAAATTAGAATAATTTAATAAGAACACGGTTTTTAGAAAGACAATAAATTCTACATGCAAATATAAATAGTTATTTATCTAAAACAAAGCTAAATATAAGTTACAGATTAGTTATGCTATATTATGATTGATAGAAAACAACAAAGCTTTTGACTTTATCACAGACCTTTTATCATTATAAACTTCATTACCGAACATTTTTACAAACGCATTAAAAAATTTTGGACCAAGACAACAAAACTGATGCCTACTAGTTTCCTTTTTAAAAAAGCTTTCTGCTAACAAGTAATATTGTGCTGATCGAGATATTCTATTGACAGGTTTCATTTTAAACATGTACGGATATTAAAAAACAAACATAATCAAACAGTATACGTGCAATTGATTGAAGGTTAAAAGCTCTTCATGTTCAAAAAGATAACTTACTCTATCATATTTTTTAAATCCAAAAACAGCCCTCAGTGCATGTCTTTGGTTCGTGATGACAGGTTGTAATATGGTAGGATAAGTACCCCCATAATGTACTATTCCATATCTCATCACACTTTCAAACCAGGAGATGTATACCTTTTTTAAATGCTCACTCCTAATGTTGTCTCTTAAGTGATATAAAGCATAATTTATTTTCCTTAATTTAATTGAAAGTTGTTTTACATGCTGCTCCCACTTTAAATGATGATCAACAAACAATCCTAGATATTTAACATATTCTACTACTTCAATACAACTGCAAGAACAATTATACAAACATGGGTGTTTACGGTACAATAAATTAAATTCATTTTGTAAATTTTCTCGTGATTGATTATAATGTTTTGAGTGAAGTGCTTGATTTGCAATTTGACAACCCTCAAGGAGTGGTTTTGGGCCACATTATTTTTTGATATATATAAACGACTTGCTGGAGCTTGATTTATGTTCAAAAATATTTGCCTATGCTGATGACACAGCTCTTGTGTGCTCAGCTTTCAATAAAAGGTCGCTGAAACTAAAAATAAGAAAAGATTTAGACAAGATATCAAATTGGCTAATTGAAAACAGATTGTTAATAAACTCCTTAAAATCGAATTGTTTATTTTTCGATGTTTATATATAACGATGTACGGAGGGATAATGCTACTTGATATTTAGATTCAGTGATATCACTACCGACCGTCCCCCCTCCGCGCCACTTCCGGCGTTCGAGGCCGGGTAGCACTGGTAGCAGTTCCTCACTCCGTATTTACTCGAGCCGTGCGTCGATTTTAGGATAAGTAAAAACAGTCGATGATGCGTAGAACCATTGCAATAATTAAATGCTGCTAAGTTTCATCGTAGGTGAACGCATTGCTTAGAATCTGTTTTAAATTACACAAGAAATGACAATATGTATACATGTACTAGTGGATAATCTATGTTTAATGGTTACGTAACACTAATCATTAACGTCAAGTTATTTATAGGCCTACTGTGAATATATATTTATTCTGTGATTTACCTTTCGGGTTTTAGACGACTTTTAACTCGATGTATAAAAAGTATATGTAACATAGTTACTACTCGGTGTAACATAGGGCCTATTATGTTTTTCCGAGGGAAATATATTCTTCAATAACCACTAACGATTACAAATGATAAAATTGTAAGTAGAACCTTTGTTTTATTAGGGTGATCCTTAATCCGAGTAGTTTTTGCGTGGACTAAATAAGGATCGATATACGGTTTACTGTTAGTT